CCACATGGCAGCTCACAACTGTCTGTAACTACAAGATCTGACACCCTCACACAGACAGATATGCAGGCAAAAACGCCATTAAAAAATATTAAGGAAAATTGGATTTTTTTTTATTTCTTTTTCCTCTTTGTTCTTTGAGCTTGTGTTTCAGACTTTGCTTAGGCTGGCTTGAGCTCAGGCCGGTGTGGAACTTGCAGTGGTATCTGGCCTCCCGAGTGCTGGGGTTATAGGTTTGTGCCATCGCACCCCTTTGAAAATTGAACTGCCTTTGTAAAATTACTCCAGGAATTCATTTACTTTAGTACTTCATTGCTGCCAGACATCTAGTAAAGGAGGTTCACTATTTCTTCTAAGTATCCCTTTTTGTTGTTCAGAGATGGAGAAACAATAAATTTTCTGCTTTATTGTTGAGTTTTTCACTGTTAAGTGATCTTTCCAATTGCAAATTCTTCAGAACAGCGCGTTTTAGTGAGACAGGTTTAAACATAGTTTGGTTGTGTATGTGGCTGATAGTACTGGGTTGGAGGTAGAACCAGGTAGATTAGATATCTTAATTTTAATCTGGCAAATTTTCTAATTCTATGTGTTTATTTGGTTTTTCAAGACAGGGTTTCTCAGTGTTACAGTCCTAGCTGCTCTGGAACTAGCTCTATAGACCAGGCTGGCCTTGAACTCATAGAGATCCCATAGATCTGCCTCCTGAGTGCTGGGATTAATGGCATGTTCAACCACTGCCGGCCTAATTTTTATTTTATTGAAAATAGATTGTTTTTTCATATAATATATCCTGATTATAATTTTCCTTTCTTCTATTCCTCTCAGTACTTCCCCTCTAGATATATTTTCTTTCTGTCTGTCATTAGAAAAGAACAGGGCTTCTGAGAGATAACAACCAAATATGACAAAATAAGATATATAATTTTATGAAAATGAAAATATGAATTAATTCCCCCAAGTATTAAGTGTATAGTAGCCAGTTAGAAAAGTATGAGAATTAGAAGGTAAAATGAGAGATATAAAATGAAAATTATTTATTAAAAACTGCTTTCACGCTCTTATATAATAGCTTGGTATATTAGCACATGAAAGTAGTCCCCAGCACCAGCAGTAAATGAACCAATACACAGAAAACTGTCTGATATCTTTCCTGCCGAGCTGAGTAATGATGATGATCATTTGTAGTTTTATCTTGAGTTTGAATGCTGTGTGCTCACAAAATCTTTTTGGTATGAATGTGCTTGATATTCATTTATACTTACATGATTGGTTTTTACTTTCTTTTTAAAGAAAACTAAACTGAAGAAAATGGCATTTTACTCAAGAAGATTGGCCCTGGATGACCTAAGAAATGAAATGGATTGTAGATTTCACAAGAAAATCTCAGTTTGTGATGATTACATTTCTTTTCTCCGATAGTTTGTTTATATAATATGTATTCTTTGCACTACACAAATGGTAACATTTTAAGGACTAATATTGCTGATACTTGAACAATCAATCTCAACTAGGTTTTAAGTAGCATATGTAGACTTACTCTTTCTGAGCTTGACGGACATTAATTTATTATCGTTTAGTAACATGTTTACCTGATTTTTTTCTCATCAGAAATATAAGCTGCTTTTCTAAGGCACTGTTATGATTATAAGATTTATAATATTTACTTTTCTAAATTAAACACAAGAAAGAATACAACACAAGTGGATTTAAATGAGGTCAAATCAGTTTTGTATCAGCCACTGAACTGTCCACAGGTAGCTGCAAACTGATGGAAGAGTCCTCCGCATTCTTTGTGGTCTGCCCAGTTCAGAAAATCCTTGTCCTTTGTACTGTGGCCATTGTCTCACAACTGAGTCACTGAACAGACTTAACTCGATGAGGGATGAAGACTAGGTCCAGTGGATGTGGAAAGTATATTCCAGGTTGACACAGAAGTCATCAGATTTTTAATTCAATCATACGCACTTAATCTTTTTTTTTTTTTTTTTTTTTTTTTTGGTGAGGATATCCAATGTCTGCTTCATAGGGTGCTTTGCAATAAAATGAAAACTTATCTATACTGTTTTTATTAAGGAGCAAACGCATGAAAATCTTTTTTTTTCTTCAAGTGGTAAACTTCAGTTTGGATTCTTAACCTCTTAGTGCCTCAGGTTTTCCTTTGGGGTGCACATCACAAGGTATTAGAAGGACTAAATATACACGCCATCTTTGTCCACATAATTAAGGGATGCCTGACTAATGAAACCTAAGTTTCTTCTGTCCTTTAGATCAAAATGAAGGAAGACCGAAAATAATCCTTTTTGTGTATTTCCCAAAAACCTGTGCTTATACACCTTATGCTTTGAAGATGTGATTTACAAACTTTATAGCAAATTCCCCCTTCCTTTTTTTCCTTTTGAGACAGTCTCAGTAGCTCTTGCTCAATACTGAGTCACGCTGTAGCTAAAGATGACCTGGAACACCTGATGTTCCTGTCTCCACTTTTCTCCATTTCTGGGACCACAGGCATGCACCACCTGACTAGCTTTGTATAGTAAAAAAATTAATGCATTCTTGATATGGGATGTTGGGGGGATTAGCATAGGTACTGGACATTTTCAGTAAGAGCAAAAGAATCCTTCTCTAGTGTATAGGGTTGTTCTTTGAAGAAAAAAGTATGAGAACATTATTTGCTTGTCCCAGACTTCTCAATTTTTTTTTTTGTTTTTAAATTGTGTATCACATCTTGGTTGAAAGGAACTACTAGTATTTGCTTAAGATATGAAACAAACAGACCCAAATCTACCTTCTACTTATTTAGAAGGGAAAAAAGGAAATAACTGAATTATCATAGGTAAAGTATGGATCAAGAGTTTATTTTTTTTTAAATTAGACAAGTTGGTATCATAAAATGATGGCTTTTTTCTTATATAAATAAAATGCAAATCAAGGCTGTAACAAGTTGTGATTCATTGCAAGTAGTCAAGGTAACTAACTCCTAAGGGCAACCATTTGTATCATAGATCGGAATTACTTTATAGCTTGAAAAGCACTTTGCACACAGTCCTTGTATATAATTGATGTAATTATAGGATATAATGGTAATGCTTTAAAACATAAACCTCATTTTAAAAATTGACAGCTATGGTATTTTTTTAATGATCAGCTTTTCTGTTTATTGTAAAACTAAGTTAAAAATAAAAGGTTAATGAGAAATGAACTATTTTCTTATTACTGGTTAACTGTATTGGTTGTGTACAGAACTGAAGTGAGAGCAAATAGGAGTTGCTATGAAGTAATCCTGAGTAACAGGCAGGAGATAGCAGCTCTCCACAGCACAAGCCTGTGAGGTCCCCATCAGTTCCCAGAACCATGCAGAGGAGAAATTCAAGAGACTAAATAAAGCCATATTATGTGTAATTTGATAAAAATTTCAGAAGTGAATGCAACTACTAGTATTTGCTTAAGATATGAAACAAACAGACCCAAATCTACCTTCTACTTATTTAGAAGGGAAAAAAGGAAATAACTGAATTATCATAGGTAAAGTATGGATCAAGACTCATTTGTCATCTGAGGATACTAGTCATAGTTTAAAAAGAGGTAGGGTTTTACTCTGTAGCTCAGATTGGCCTCAGCCTGGAAGCAGTCCTCTTGCTGCTGCCGACAAAGGACACAGAAAAGTCACTAGAGTGCTGTTTGACTCCTCTGGTGCTCTGGCTCCCAGCAGCCCTGCCCCAGTGAAGGAGAATTTACACTTGAATGCAGCGGGGGGGTGAGCTCCTCGTGTTTCTGCTTCACATTGCCTTTAGCCCAACAATGTTTATGTGAGAGAGGCATATTTGGGGGGACATTTCTTCAGGTTGATTTCTGTGGGGAACAACCAAGATCATTTAGCTCCGTTTCCGTTTCTCTTTAACAAGAGTCTGAATATAGCTTATTAGCAGGTGTAAATTTAGATGATAAATCATTTATTCTCAATAAATACCATTACAACTTATCAATAATTACCATTACATTATCTGGTGGCAGAATTTTAGGTGACTGTAGCTGCCTATGACATGTCTGTGATAGCAAATTGTAATTTTCTACTCAGAGCTGTGTTGGCTAATTTTATGTCAACTTGACACTAGCTAGTTATCTGAAAGGAGGGAACCTCAACTGAGAAAATACCTCCATAAGATCTGGCTGTAGGGCATTTTCTAAATTAGCAATGGATGGGAGATGGCCCAGCCCATTGTGGACGGTGCCATCCTTAGACTGGTGGTTCTGGGTTCTGTAAGAAAGCAGGCTGAACAAGCCAGTAAGTAGCACCTCTCCATGGTCTCTATATTAGTTCCTGCCTCAGGTTCCTGCTCTGAGTTCCTGTCATGACTTCCTTTGATGATCAACAGTGATATGGAAGTGTAAGCCAAATAAGCCCTTTCCTCTCTAACTTGCTTTTTGATTCATCACATCCATAGAAACCCTAAGATAAGGCCTCTGTCTTCTCTACTAGAATTAAGTCCAATTTTGTAATGCTTTAGGTTTTAGTGTTTTTCAGAATGCATGTGTCCATGCCACAACAAACATATGGAGGTCAGTAAATAGTTTGCAATTATCTCCACCCACTGTGTGGTTCCTGGAGACTGACAGTGGTCAGGATTGGTGGCAAGTGCCTTTACTTACTGAACCTTCTTGCTGGCCCTAGTTTTTGTTTTCCAGAACGTTTGATTTTTTTCATTTTTTTACTCTTTTGGTTTTTCAAGACAGGATTTTTTTGTAGCTTTTGAGTCTGTCCTGGAACTCACTCTGTAGACCTGGCTGGCCTTGAACTCACAGACCTGCTTCTGTCTCCTGAATGCTGGAATTAAAGGTGTGTGCCACTACTATCCAGCCAGAGTGCTTTAAATACTCATTTATGTATATCTCATTTAGTCAGTTGAATAAGTAGATGATCTGAATTAGTTACTTTTCTATTGCTGTGATTAAGACAATATGACCTGGGGGAGGGGGAGGGAAAGGGGAGGCGGCGGTGGGGAAGAGACAGAAATCTTTAATAAATAAATAAATAAAAATTAAAAAAAAAAAAGAAATAAAACCCCCGCCTTTCTCCCTAAAAAAAAAAAAGACAATATGACCAAGATAACTTATTAAAAAACACTTTATTTGGGGCTTATGGTTTCAGAGGGGTAGAGTTCATGATGGTGGAGCAGAGGTAGCAGGCAGCATCTGAGCATTCATATCTTAACCACAAGTACGGGCAGAGAGCACACTGGGAGTGACCTGAGTCTTTTGAAACCTTAGTGCTCACCCCAGTGATGTACTAACTATCCTTCCCAAACAGTTCCACCAACCAGGGACCAAGTATTCTCACTGAATCCATCACACGACCAAAAGAAACAACACTGCTGGAACCTTAGGTTAAATAATTGTGAAAGAAGAAATAATTCTTTTATTATTTTTTATTCTTTACATTCTGTACAGACAAGCAAAAGAAAACATAAATGTGCAAAGTGTTTATGACTCACTGTCAATGAAAAACACCACCAACTACTATGAAAACAGGCCAATTTATGAGAACCAAAAAGTAGAAAAAACATTTTATAAAAAATGCATTTATGGAAAGAAATGTTTCTCTTCTGTGTACTTACATATAACATATTGTTTGCTTTAATAAATGTATCCCTATGTTTATTCATCCATCTGTTGACATGCTTTATTCATGTAGTCCAAGGAGGTCAGAACCTCTCAACAGTCCACAGCAGAATTAAATTTTACTGTAACCAACTGTCCAGTGATTTGCTTTAAGAAGCCATTATCGGTTTGCCTCTGCAGACTCATTTTTAACTAACTGGGATCCAGAGTTCTTCTTCCTTGGACCCCTAGTTTGTTAATCTGACTCTGCTTATTCTAATTCTACAAAGTAATTAGTATGTGTGTTACTGGAGCTTGAAGCCAAGGTCCTATGCATACTAGGTAAGTATTCTCTACCTTCAGCCTCCAAAGTAATTATATCAATCACCAATATATTAGTGCTCAATATTAACCTGTCCATGGCAGCACAGTTGTTTAACCAGGTTTAGATTCCAAAGGCTTTTTTTCTACTACTTGAAAACACTATAAAAGGACTGTAGATTGAGTAAATAGCCTGTAGAATATGCTGTCACCTGAAAAGTGTGACTCACTTTAAATGAAGTTGTAGTAACTATTTTGAATATCTTTATTTAAAAGGGTGACTAGAAAATTAAGTATAGTCATTATAAAATAGGCAGAGTAAAACCTTTAGCCCAAGGATTCAATACCCAGCACCAATTATGCTGTGTCTTTTATTGTTACAGATCTAGGCTTGTCTCATCTTTGCAAACTACATTATGGCTGAGTTGTGACTAGGTGGTAAAGCAGAAACACTAAAGTCAGTGTGCAAAAGGTTATTAACAAAACCTACCTATGGTACATTTAAATCGTAATTTCATTCTTCTAGGAAAATGCTAAAAGTCTCAATTAGTTTAGCTGATTCTTAGTATTCTTCAAAAAGAGTGATGCTGACAATCATTAGTTACAGCTATTAAACAAAAGTAGATTACTATTTTTCTCTGATAAAACTGAACAAGCTACTAAAATTGCTTAAAGTGTCACACCCAACCTTTCCAGAACTCTTAAACAAACAGGAATTGTAGAAGAAAGCACCAAAAGCAGTCAGGTAGCAAAATTCTATCACTAGGAAGGTAAGCTAAACCCTTAAAATCTTAGTTCTTTTGAATAGACTGCACTCTGCAAAGTTACACTACTAATAGTTTTCCAGCTTTTTTTTAAAGTTTTACAAGACAGGGTCTCACTATAGAGTCCTGAATGGCCTCCAGCTCAGAGACAGACCAGGCTGGCCTTAGTTTTGAAATTGCAGTCATACTTCTGTCTTGCATCTGTCTCCTGAATATGGGGGCTTCTGGCTTGCATGTCTGGCAAAATGGCTGATTTTGACAGTCATGTATTGTCTTGTAAGACTGTCTTGAGACCACAGTTTTGCAGGCAACCATGTACAAATAAATTTAAATGAAATAGTCGTTTTTTATTTGTTTGATATTAACACCGAAGTGAATAGAACAATGAAATCTGCATAGAAGCTTATGGCTCATTCTCTCTGTATTGAGTAGTAGTGTTTTAGTTTATTGATACGTTAGTCTTCATAAAGTGCAGCTAATAAATAAGACAAGATGAAAAAAGCTGTGATGATTTATATCCAGTTTATGGTAAAGATAAATTACATATATTTCGCATAGTATTTTAATTTTGTAAAAGCTGTTGTATTCATTAATTGAAAGTTCATTAGCCTAGGTGACTTCTCTCCTGTAAGTCAATCTAGTATTGAACATAATATTGCAAAACTTAATTCTATATTACAAGATTAGATCAAAATGATATGTATGTTCTACAGACTAAACCCAGATATGGTCAGATGCTGAGCAGTATTCCTGGCTTCAAAATAGGATGTATCTGTTTCATCATCTGGCTGTGGTACGAAAGGCATTGTTTGATGTTGCAGATTTTCCCAGTCCACTTCACTGAAGAGAGGATGATGTTTCAGTTCTTAAGGGGAAATATGTTAAAAAAAACAATATTAGGACACCATCATTTAAAAGTTGCTTTCAGGAATTAAAAAGGCAATGCCTTTGTATCTTGCCTTACTCTGTTATACCAAATATCGCTGCTTTGTTTAATGTTCGTCTCTGTTAGACTACATACTTTACACTGCATCATTTTGCATATCACATATCACCTGGTATATTATAGGTGCCTGGTTTCTATTTGTCTAGCGAGTGAAAAAATGACCTTAGTAGAAGTGGATCTTTCTTTTTTTTTCAGTTTGCCAAGCTGTGACTGTTATTAACTGACCATATTAAAAAAAAATACCATGGGCAACACCTTAGTTCATCCGTCTAATAAGCCTGTTTATCTTGTCTTCCATAAAATGAGTTGTCTTTTTCTTCACTCCACCTCGTGGAGAAGATAATTTGAAGGGCCACAGGAAGTTATTCGCTTCTTTGAAGCGTTTTCCAACTGTATATATTTCATGAATTAGATCCTCCATGCAGATGATGCCGTATTTACCAAGAGACCGAGCAATCGAGGAATTACCTGTCAAGGCAATTCTCTTCTTATGAATTTTGCCATAGCCGCGTTTGTAGATGAGCTCATTGGCTGACTTCAGATTGGGGTACCCCCACGCAATGTATGGTGCACAATCCTCAGCATGTTACCTGAAGCCTTCTTGAGCTTAACAAAGGTGCCGTTGAAGATCTGCAGAAGACGGAGAAGCTGCAACACCTTGCACACCTTTGGGCTTTACACCCCTGATACCTCGGATTCTGATGACAAGTGCCAGCTTCGGTTCTGCTGGCACATAGAAGTTCCCAGCTTGCCTTGCCATCCTGGCCATACGGATCTCTGTCTACTCCTTGTGATAGTGCTTTGTCTTTTCATAGATGAGCTTTCTCTGGGCCCTTTGCAGTGACTTCAGAGCAGTCTTCTTCCAAAGGTGCTTCTCCTTCAACTCTGCAAAATCCCTTCACGTTTTCTGAAGGGTTTCGGGCACAACACGAACCTCCTTTTCCTTCTCTGGTGCAGCCTCCATGGTTCCAGTGTGGGGGAGGGGGCAGAGGAAGGAAGTGGATCTTTCTTGATGCCATCTTCTCACGCTCCCTCATTTGCAGACGGTATGGCTTACTTCTTCACTACCGTTGGAGCTCATCTGACTAATGCTCTAGTTCTCATTTCACCTCTCACCCACCTGTCACATGGCAGTCTTTAAGCATGAGAAAGTTCATCTTTTACTCTTTGTTTTGAATACTTATCTTCCTTCATGCTGATTCCACATATACACTGGTGATGATTGGCTATATATTTAACTTACTGTCCTTTTGGTTTTGGTCTTCTTGTTTATGTGTCTGAGATAAGGTCCCAGTAGCCCAGGCTATCCTGGAGCTCACTGTGTAGCCCAAGCTGAAAGTTTTTACAGTCCTGTTCCTTAGTCTTCTAAGTGCTGGGTTCCCCGGCATGGACCACCATGGCTTGGTTCTGACTAGATGACATTTCTCACACATTCTCTCCATATTCTTCGATTTACTTGGTTCCACTATTACATCTTTAGAGTTTACTAGCTAGCATTACAGGTACATCTAGAACTTTCCATCACAGCACTCCTGCTTATAAGATTCCCAACTCTTCAACTTATTGTTTTGTTTTGTTATGTAGTCTTGGCTATCCTGGAACAGGTCTCTATATAGACCAGGTTGGCCTCAAAGTATGCCTGCCTCTGCCTCCGAGTACTGAGATTACAGGTGTGCACCAAAATACCTGATTACTTCTACCTACTAAAATAAAAACATGTTCACTTGTTTGACTAAACCGTGATATTTTGTTGCTAGAAATAAGCTCCCTTTTCCCTAACCTTCATGGTTCCTTTGCAGTGATTGAACTGTGGCCTTGCACTCGCTGTGCAAGTGTCTACTGTGGCCAAACCTCCAACCACAACCAACTCCTCACTTTTCTTTTTCAAACTATGGTACTAAGCCGGCTTTAAACTCACAGCAATCCTGTTGCAGGCTCCTTCCTAAGTGCTGAGATTATAGAGAGGAGTCACCATGTCCAGTTTTCAACCCTTTCCCTTTTTAAAATTTATTTTTAAAAGATTTATTATATATAAAGTATACCATCTGCATGTATACCTGCAAGCTAGAAGAGGGCACCAGATCTCATTACAGATGATTGTGAGCCAACAAGTAGTTGGTTGCTGGGAATTGAACTCAGGACCTCTCTTAACCTCTGAGCCATCTCTCCAGCCCCAACCCTTTACCTTTTAAAGCAACAGTACAAATGTTAGTAAATTAAGAAGTGACAAGCCAGTAAGTAAATAAACCAAAAAAGTATATACTTTTAAGGAGAATCTTGGAGGATGTCTACACAGAGTGTTTATATTGGGAATCGATTTAGGAGACTTATATACCTATAAATTGTTTTTCCTCTAAACTAAAAGACTGGTAGGAGCCAGGCATGAGTCTGAACAAAAGGACTGCTTTAAGTTCAGGGCCAACATGGATGATAGGAATTTCTTGGTCTCATACACCTGTAATCCTGGCACTTTTAGGAGATGAGAAAGAACAGGAGACTATGTAAGGGACTTCAGGTCAGTCTAGGCTATAATGAGACTGTCTGCAAAAAACATGAGGGATGTAGGGAGGGAAAGAAAAAAGAATAGAAAAAGGGATACAGTTGCAAAAATAATTTTCACTTGTTTAAAATAAGTACCTAAGAACAGATACATTTAAAAGTTATTTTGTATGATGGTTTTCAACCAAGGTGGCTTTTTCTGTACAGAATGTTGGCATTGTCTGAGATACTGTTTTGGTGTTATAACTGTGGAAGCATCTGTTGAGTAGAGACCAGCTATTCTGTTAAATATTCTGCAGTATGTAAGACAACCCCATAACACTTGACTTGAAAGTTGAAAAATTCTTTCAGAAAATAGTTATATACTATATGCCCCCCCCCCCAAAGTAAGGTTATAAGAACATCTAACCAGTAGCAACAGTGGAGCCTGATTTTGGAAACTTTCATTCTTTCCTAATAATTTATTGTTTTTAATTGAGCTATACATTTTTTCCACTCCCCTTCCTTCCTACCCTCTCCCTTTCCACCTTTTCCCAACCCCTTATTCCCCTCCCCCCACCTCCCATGCTCCTAATTTACTCAGGAGATCTTGTCTTTTTCTCCTTCCTAGGCAGATCCATGTATTTCTCTCTTAGGGTCTTTGTTGTTCTAGGTTCTTTGGGGTCATGAACGATAGGCTGGTTATTCTTTGCTTTATGTCTAAAAGTCACTTACGAGTGAGTACATATTATATTTGTCTTCTGGGTCTGAGTTAGCTCACTCAGTATGTTTTTTTCTAATTCCATCCATTTGCCTGCAAACTTCAAAATGTCATTATTTTTTACCACTGAGTAGTACATTTTCCTTATCCATTCTTCAGTTGAAGGGCATCTAGGTTGTTTCCAGGTTCTAGCAATTACAAATAATGCTGCTGTGAACATAGGTGAGCAAATGTCTTTGTGGTGTGATTGAGCATCCTTTGGATAGATGCCTAAGAGTAGTATTGCTGGATCTTGGGGTAGATTGACTCCTAATTTTCTGAGAAATCGTCATACTGATCCAAAGCGGCTGTACTCCCACCAGCAATGGAGGAGTGTTTCCATTACCCCACATCCTCTCCAGCATACACTGTCATCAGTGGTTTTGATCTTGGCCATTCTGACAGGTGTAAGATATAAGAATTTTAGAGTTGTTTTGATTTGCATTTCTCTGATGGCTAAGGATGTTGAACATTTCCATAAGTGTCTTTCAGTCGTCTGAGATTCACCTTTTGAGAGTTCTCTATTTAAGTCTGTACCCCATTTTTATTAGATTATTTTTTCTTTTGATGCCAAGTTTCTTGAGTTCTTTGTATATTTTGGAAATCAGCCCTCTGTCGATGTGGGGTTGGTGAAGATCTTTTTCCATTCTGTAGGCTGCCATTTTGTCTTGTTGACCATGTCCTTTGCTTTACAGAAGCTTCTCAGTTTCATGAGGTCCCATTTATTAATTTTTGCTCTCAGTGTCTGTGCTACTGGAGTTATATTTAGGAAGTGGTCTCCTGTGCCAATGCGTTTGGTGTACTTTCCACTTTCTCTTCTATGGGGTTCAGTTTGGTTGGCTTTATGTTGAGGTCTTTGATCCATTTGGACTTGAGTTTTGTGCATGGCGACAGATATGGATCTATTTTCATTCTTCTACATGTTGATATCCAGTTATGCTGGCACCATTTGTTGAATATGCTTTCTTTTTTCCATTTTATAATTTTAGCTTCTTTGTCAAAAATCAAGTGTTGATAGGTGTGTGGGTTGATATCTGAGTCTTCAATTTGATTTCATTGATCTTCCTGTCAAAAATACCAGGCTGTTTTCAGTACTGTAGCTCTGTAGTAGAGTTTGAAGTCAGGGATTGTGATGCCTCTAGAAGTTCCTTTATTGTACAGGATTGTTTTAGCTATCCTGGGTTTTTTGTTTTTTCCATAAGAAGTTGAGTACTGTTTTTTCAAGGTCTGTGAAGAATTTTGCTGGGCATTGCAATGAATCTGTAGATTGCTTTAGGTATGATTGCCATTTTTACTATGTTAATCCTATTTATCTAAGAGCATTGGATATCTTTCCATTTTCTGATGTCTTCTTGGATTTCTTTCTTCAAAGATTTAAAATTCTTGTCATACAAATCTTTCACTTATTTGGTTAGAGCTACCCCAAGGTATTTTATGTTTTTGTGGCTATAATGTCAAGTGTAATGTTTCTCTGATTTCTTTTTCAACCCATTTATCTTCTGTGTGTGTGTGTGTTTTAAGTTAATCTTGTATCCTGCTATATTACTGAAGGTATTTTTCAGTTGTAGGAGTTTCCTGGTGGAATTTTTTTGGGTCACTTAAGTATACTATCATATCATCAGCAAATAGTGAAAGTTTAACTTCTTCCTTTCCAATTTGTAGATCGCTTTGAGTTTCTCTCCATTTAGTTAGATGTTAGCTGTAGGCTTGCTGTATACTGTCTTTATTATGTTTAGGTATGTTCCTTGTATCCCTGCTTCTCCAAGACCTTTATCATGAAGGGGTGTTGTATTTTGTCAAAGGCTTTTTTCTGCATCTAATGAGATGATCATGTGTTTTTTTATTTCAGTTGTTTTATATGGTGTATTACATTGATAGATTTTTGTATGTTGAACTATTCTTAAATCTCTGGAATGAAGCCTACTTGGTCATGGTAGATGATTTTTCTGATATGTTCTTATATTTGAAACTTTCATTTCTTAAAAGTATTGTTATTACCAGTGCAGCCAGAAAAAAAGAATCTTAAGTTTCATACATTTTCTAATTTTGTCTATTTTCTTCCCTACTAAGTTAGAATTTTTAGCCTCAAATATGCTTTAAGCAGATATGCTTATTTTTCAACATTTATAAAAATATTTATTTAAAAAAATATTTATTTTTGTCTGGACCTGGTACTGTATGCCTTTATTTCCAGCACTTGGAAGAAATAGATTTCTTGAATTCAACGCTGGCCTGGTCCACATACTGAGTTCCAGGTCAATCACAGATAACATAGTAAGACCTAATCTCTAAAATTAATTTTTTTTTACATGTTTAAGTATTTTCCTGCATGTATGTATGTGCACCACATGCATGCCTGGTACCCAATGAGGTAAGAAGAGGGCATCATATTCCTCAGAACTGGAGTTGCAGAAGGTTGTAACGTCATCATGTGGGGCAGGGAACCTAACTGGCTTCTTCTGCATGAGCAGCAATTGCTCTTAATGGCTGATGCAGCTCTCCATCCCCATGATAGAATACTGGGCATGATAGTAACTGAACTCAGGTCCCCTAGCAACAAGAACAGTGGCTCGTAATCACTGACCCACTCTCTAGTCCCTCTAGAACCTTTTAATGAGATCCCTGGGATGCTTTGCCTCTGCTCGTGCCTCTGTCTGCTGAGCTATCTCAGCAACCTCTTTACTTAAAGTCTGTATTTATAAGGCAATGCCTAGTATGTCATAGGTATTCAATAAAAGTTAAAGGAATAATGACCCTAGCTCCCCTCAAATGATAGTGTTTTATTATTTATTATTTGTGTATAATGTGTACGTGCAAGTTTGTATGTGAGTAGAAAAGTTTGTATGTGCAGCTATGGTACATGGGTGTTGGTAGTAGACAACCTTTGCTGTCAGGTCCAAATCTTCTCCTTTTTTTTTTTTTTTTTTAAACATATAGGTTCTTTTATTTGCTTCTTTGTGTCTCAGACTAGCTAGCTCATTGAGCATTTGAGAGTTCTTAGTCTTTGCCTCCCATCTTACTGTAGACACATTGGGATCACACATGTGTGCTACTGCATCCCAATTTTATGTGGGTTCTGAAGATCCAAACACTGGTCCTCATACTTCCATAGAAAATTCTTTATCTACTGAGCCATCTCCCCTGCTTATTTTAAATACTTTATTATTATTAGTTAGTTAGTTTTTGAGACATCTCCCCTGCTTATTTTAAATACTTTATTATTATTAGTTAGTTAGTTTTTGAGACAGGGTCCCATTATATAGCCTGGCTGGTGTAGAAGTCACAGAGATCTGCCTTTCCCTGTCTCCCAAGTGCTGATACTAAACGTGTGTTATACCATATCTAGCTAAGATAGCATTTTATAATAGCAACCTAACCAATATGTAACGTTCAGATACTTAGATGTATTAAAAATAACATTTGAAGGATGCAAAATGTCCAAATAACAATGTATACTCTTTGGAGCTCAAATATGGGATTTCTAGTGTTAAATGTGGCTTAATTATTGCAATTTTGAAAAGGCTCAAAGGGAGTGGTCAGGTATGTACAAGTTTACTTTACACAGGATTCTGCTCAATCCATCCCTTAAAGAGGTGTTCCCAAGTACTCTAAACAAACTTGTCTCTAGGACCCACTTTGTATCTGCCCACTCTGCTTTATTTTTCTATTACTATTATTCATAGTACTTATGCCTACTTGGTATTAACAACTATTTGTTTAAGGAAATATTTTAAAGTAAGTCCCACAATGAGAGATTTGAGTAGCTCATCCCTTGGGTGACCCCAGGACCAGAGCAACATTCACATTCAATAGGTTTAGTTAAACCAATAACTATTGATCTTTATTTATTCATTTGTGAGTGTGTTCACCTGTCTGCCATATGTTTGTTCACAAGTAATCATGAAAGCCAGAAAAGGGTGTTGTTTGCCCTGGAATAGGACGGTGCACGTTGTGAGCCAGTCGGTGGTGTTGGGTACCAAACTTAGATCCTAGAAGAACAGCAAGTACTTGTAACTGCTGAGTCATCTCTCTAGATCATCCCAAACTTATGAAAAGGAACATGTAAACGCTGATTCAAGTAATACTCTCTCTCTCTCTCTCTCTCTCTCACACACACACACACACACACACAAATTGCGTGTGAACATGGGCACAGGTGCCATGGCATGTGAGTAAAGCTCAGAGGACAACCTTGATGAGTTGCTTCTCTCCTCTACTGTGAATTCTGGGAATTGAACTCAGGTTGTGTAGCAAGTGCTTTGGCCTGATGATCATTTCTCCATCTGACATGACTTATTTTCAAAGTTCATTCTTTTGCATATCCTCTGCTTCATATAGAAATGCATTTTTGGGCACAATGCTTATTTGTCTATATTACAATAAGATCATTGAAGTTTTTAGGTGCTGAAGAGCAACCCTGGGGCCTGACACAAAGTAAGCATGACCTTCATATCTTAGCCATATCCTTAACATTAAGAAAAATTATTTTAAGGCTGCTGTCAATGAGATTTACTTCAGTTTCAAAGGTAGAATCAAGTGTATATTCCCAAGCATTAAAAAAGCCCCCGAATGGTTCATAACATACTGAATAAGTCTTATTTGAGGCAACCTGGGATGAAATGATTTGTAATGGAATCAGAAGTTAAACAATAAAAAAACTACACAACAGGATATTCATAGATGTGCTAAACTTATAGATAGTTGACTATCAGGTATAGAAAACCCAAGATACGCTACAATATGGTTTCTGGTGCCTCACGGAAGGTTACAAAATTGAGTGTGTGAGTTGTGACTACACTGCATTGAGTTTAAATTAAAGATAAATATACAAATGCATTATCTCAAGGAACTATCTTCTTACCATTGAGCAGTCAGATTATTGTACTAGAACCTGATGTTATAATTACTACCTGGAACCAAGCAAGCATAAAATAGTTCATCGACAAAAAAACCTTACCTTTCATTCCAGCTCTCTTTGTATCATCAATGGTTAACAGCATATCCACTGCACTTTGAGCATCATCAGATAGCTTTTCTTCACCTTCTGGCCAAGGGATATCTACAGATACACATATATAAGTAAAATTGTTTGACTTTCTCTTGGGGATCCACACTTGGGTATGTCTTACTTTCTGCAAACCTTGGAGAAGTTGACACCCATAATCTGGGTGTATCTTACTTTGTTTTGAATGCCTCTTATTTTCATACCCCTCTGTCTCCTTAATTTTATATTAAAATACCTGTATTAGGGGGCTAGAGAGATGGCTTAGAGGTTAAGAGAACTGGCTGCTCTTCTAGAGGTCCCGAGTTCAATTCCCAGCAACCACATGGTAGCTCACAATACCAGAACATGTAATAAATACCAGAATAATAAATACCAGAATGTAATAAATACCAGAACATAATAATAAAATAAATCTTAAAAAATACTTTTATTAAACAG